CACCCCCCGGCACCGCCACACAGACCCGCACTCGGTTTAAGAAAAGGTTTACTGATCAGTACTTCTGCCAATATTGCAACAGCTGTGAAAGGCAAACACTGTTACACAGTTTAGAAAAAACAATTTTTTATACAATGAAAATATTAAACAAATCTCAAACAAAACCCCACAGTGGCTGAGGAATGAGCCTGGAGTTCCAGATCCAGTATTAGCACCTGCAGCACCACCAAATCAGCCCCTGGGCCCCTGCTCAGTTGTCTCTTCTGAACTCCTGAGTTCCTTCTACAACTGGACACTGACACCCGGCACCTAAACCCAGGCTTTCATCAGGGAAAAGGATGGAAGAGAAAGGATTAAGCCAGCTGGGACTGTGGGCCCTCCATGGTGCTGAGCAATGTCCATGCACGAGGCTGCCAAGGAATGCACAGCTCTGCTCCTGCAGCACCAGGACTGAGAGACCACCTCACACGACACCTAACAGCTCGTCAAAGCCATGTTTTCCTATAATTTATAGATAATAAACCCATAAAGAAACAGTTGTACACTTCACATATTAATCAGAGTAGGGTGGGAGTTGTTATGTTTATTGGCTCAGCATCCACTTTACTGTGCTCTCTGCTCACAGCCCAACAGGCCCCTCCTGGGGAGCACAAAGACCACCAGGGCTCAGGTCTGGCCACTCCTCCCTTCCAGGGATAACCAACACATCCACACAAGGAGCACTTTGCCCTCTGGTTTCCTACAAGAGGCATTGCCTTGGGTCACTCCTGGCCAGGAAGAGGCACTGTGTATGTCCTCACTCCAGCACCAACCTGGAGGGGAACTGCCCACCCTGAGCTGGAGCTGTGCAGAGCCCGACAGAAGGACAGAGGGCTTTGAGAGCCAGGGAGGAGCAGCACTGCACTTATGGGACTAAAGCTAACCCTCTGCTGGGCTCAGGGCCCCGTTTCTTTCAGGGGAGAAAGCAGCTTTACCACTTCTGCTTTTTCTTCTTCTTCAGAAAAAAAAAATAAATCCCAAAGCCAAAACAAAACTAAAAAGTGATTTCATTGCTTCAAAATCTCCTGTAAAGTGGATGCTGACCAGCTAGGTCACCCCCTGGGGAGCAGTTTGAGGAAGTTAGTCCTTGTAGTAGATGGCACTGTGGATCTGGCAGCAGAGAAAGGAATGATGCTCTAAAGTAGGAGGTAGGGGAACCTTGGTACAGCGAGTCCACCGGTGAGCTGTCGTCTGCAAAAGAGGTTTCACGGGATTAGAAACTCCTCCTAAGTCAAACCCTTCCACAGCTGCAGGTTGTTACCTCGGGAGGAGAGGCAGCAGGAGCAGCCTGAGCAGAACTCAGCACTCTGGATTTCGTTTGTCCAACAGGAAATAAAGACTTTTATTCTGTTTCTTTTTGCATAACAGGCATAAATATTTCCTCCCTCTTTCCTGCACACACTGCCAACAACCCAGACTTTACACCCCCATCCCAGGACCTGCAGAGCACCTAAGACAGGGCAGCCAGTTCCAATTTGAGCTTTCCAAATTCTGATGTTCTATATCTCCTCTGAGCACAGAGAAGAGGCTGGGATTGATCTGGGATCAAGGTAACAGGTACCTGAGACTCCACAGTTTTATCTTCCGCTGGTCAAACCTCTGTCTTCATAAATGGTAATTTCAATCTGCACAGAAAAGCTGTTAGGGAAACACACCATAAAGAGATTATGAAAGCATAACCAAAAAAAGGCAGGAAAACATCAGGATGATGGGACCTTTGACCTCTGCTTCATTCCTGCTGTTTTAAGGGAGGTCTCAGAGCTCCAAAGCAAAGGGAACAGCCCATGTGAGATGCCCTGTCAGGTTGGGTTCCACCACATTTTCACTGCCTTTCCATCTGCCAAATCTTAATGTACTAAAACCTGAGCAGAGACCAGGACACGACTATCCCAGGGTCTGCTGTGCCACAGATCAGGCCTGAACAGAGGTGCCACACTGAGACAAACAGGCAGCACGAGCCAGGAGACAACGTCAGAAGCCACAAAAGGATACAACTCTGAGTCCTCTTTCAATGGGGTCTGTCAGCAGGAGGCCCTGAGGAGCGTAGATCTTCTCATTCTGTTCCTGGATGAACTTGGCAATTTTCTTTAGAACCTGCCAACAGAACAGCACAGGAGTCACAGCTCCTTCCTCAGGCTTCCTTAGTCACGAGTCAGAGCCCCAGCAGTGTCACAGGTATGGAGAACCAGCACACACCTGGTGTGACAGCAAATCCCTGCAGGACCCAGGGGACTCAGGGACACCCCTAGGGGATCAGGGGCACCCCTAGGGGATCAGGGGCACCCCAAAGGGACCCAAACTGAGGTACCTCCGCAAGGAATCTGTCCCACGGCACTGCAGGTCACAGGAAACCCCCCCAGGCCCACGTCCTTGCCCGCTGGGGAGGCAAACACATACCTTCTCATAGTGTGTCTCCATGCACAGGAAGATGGTGTAGGCAGTCAGGCAGGCCAGACACCCCTCCAGGTAAGACTGGCCCCCAAGTTTTTCAGCTTCTGCATAGAGGTTGTTCAGCGTCCGGACCGTCTCCTCAAACTGCTGCCTGTCAATCTGCAGGAGAAGCAAGAGGGGCTGTCACAGCCTCCCACACCCTCAGACATCCCCCTCCTCTCCTGGAAGAGCTGCACTGTGCTCAGAGCCCCAGCCTGAAGGACACTCAATCTCAGGGTGCAGCTCCTGTGCTCGGGCCGGGCCTGGATTGCAGCACAACGTGCACACAGAGCCCCTCAGAGCAGCACACAACACCCCTCAGCCACCCTGAGAGAACCTGAGCCCACAGCCAGCAGAGACAAGCAGGTGGGGAGTGCCTGGACACTCCTGCTGCCCACGGAGCTGGCCAAACACCCCCCCAAAAAACACAACACCCCCAACAATCACAGTAAAGGAACGAGGGTGAGGAAAACGTGGAGCAACAGAAAGAGAAGGGGGCAGGAAGGGGTGTTTGTTTTGCTGTCAGCTGAGGATCTCACACCTGGCAGCATCGAGCAAAGCGAAAGCACTTGAGGCAGCACTTGAGCGGCCTCGGAGCGCGCTCGGCAGGACGGGCAGGATTCCACGGGGGGGGACGGCGCCAGCGCCCGGGGGCACAGAGCCGGCTCTGTTCGCGCAGACACAGCGGGCACACTCTGCTCCCCTGCTGCCAACCCGCCGCCTTCCC